CTCTACATAGATGTGTATGCTGTGACCTCTCCATCACTGTGTGCTGTGACCTCTCCATCACTGTGTGTGCTGTGACCTCTACATCACTGTGTGTGCTGTGACCTCTACATCACTGTGTGTGCTGTGACCTCTACATCACTGTGACCTCTACATCACTGTGTGCTGTGACCTCTACATCACTATGTGTGCTGTGACCTCTACATCACTGAGTGCTGTGACCTCTCCATCACTGTGTGTGCTGTGACCTCTCCATCACTGTGTGCTGTGACCTCTCCATCACTGTGTGTGCTGTGACCTCTAAATCACTGTGTGTGCTGTGACCTCTCCATCACTGTGTGCTGTGACCCCTACATCACTGTGTGCTGTGACCTCTCCATCACTGTGTGTGCTGTGACCGCTCCATCACTGAGTGCTGTGACCTCTCCATCACTGTGTGTGCTGTGACCTCTCCATCACTGTGTGTGCTGTGACCTCTACATCACTGTGTGCTGTGACCTCTACATCACTGTGATCTCTACATCACTGTGTGTGCTGTGACCTCTACATCACTGAGTGCTGTGACCTCTCCATCACTGTGTGTGCTGTGACCTCTCCATCACTGTGTGCTGTGACCTCTCCATCACTGTGTGTGCTGTGACCTCTAAATCACTGTGTGTGCTGTGACCTCTCCATCACTGTGTGTGCTGTGACCCCTACATCACTGTGTGCTGTGACCTCTACATCACTGTGTGTGCTGTGACCGCTCCATCACTGAGTGCTGTGACCTCTCCATCACTGTGTGTGCTGTGACCTCTCCATCACTGTGTGTGCTGTGACCTCTATCACTGTGTGTGCTGTGACCTCTACATCACTGTGTGCTGTGACCTCTCCATCACTGTGTGTGCTGTGACCTCTCCATCACTGTGTGTGCTGTGACCTCTACATCACTGTGTGTGCTGTGACCTCTCCATCACTGTGTGTGCTGTGACCTCTCCATCACTGTGTGCTGTGACCTCTCCATCACTGTGTGCTGTGACCTCTCCATCACTGTGTGCTGTGACCTCTCCATCACTGTGTGCTGTGACCTCTCCATCACTGTGTGCTGTGACCTCTCCATCACTGTGTGTGCTGTGACCTCTACATCACTGTGTGCTGTGACCTCTCCATCACTGTGTGCTGTGACCTCTACATCACTGTGTGTGCTGTGACCTCTACATCACTGTGTGCTGTGACCTCTCCATCACTGTGTGCTGTGACCTCTCCATCACTGTGTGTGCTGTGACCTCTACATCACTGTGTGCTGTGACCTCTCCATCACTGTGTGCTGTGACCTCTACATCACTGTGTGTGCTGTGACCTCTCCATCACTGTGTGCTGTGACCTCTCCATCACTGTGTGTGCTGTGACCTCTACATCACTGTGTGTGCTGTGACCTCTACATCACTGAGTGCTGTGACCTCTCCATCACTGTGTGTGCTGTGACCTCTCCATCACTGTGTGTGCTGTGACCTCTCCATCACTGTGTGCTGTGACCTCTCCATCACTGTGTGCTGTGACCTCTCCATCACTGTGTGTGCTGTGACCTTTCCATCACTGTGTGTGCTGTGACCTCTCCATCACTGTGTGCTGTGACCTCTCCATAACTGTGTGCTGTGACCTCTCCATCACTGTGTGTGCTGTGACCTCTACATCACTGTGTGCTGTGACCTCTCCATCACTGTGTGCTGTGACCTCTACATCACTGTGTGCTGTGACCTCTCCATCACTGTGTGCTGTGACCTCTCCATCAATGTGTGTGCTGTGACCTCTCCATCACTGTGTGTGCTGTGACCTCTACATCACTGTGTGCTGTGACCTCTCCATCACTGTGTGTGCTGTGACCTCTACATCACTGTGTGTGCTGTGACCTCTACATCACTGAGTGCTGTGACCTCTCCATCACTGTGTGTGCTGTTACCTCTACATCACTGTGTGTGCTGTGACCTCTCCATCACTGTGTGCTGTGACCTCTCCATCACTGTGACTTCTACATCACTGTGTGCTGTGACCTCTACATCACTGTGTGTGCTGTGACCTCTACATCACTGTGTGTGCTGTGACCTCTACATCACTGTGTGTGCTGTGACCTCTACATCACTGTGTGTGCTGTGACCTCTACATCACTGAGTGCTGTGACCTCTCCATCACTGTGTGTGCTGTGACCTCTCCATCACTGTGTGTGCTGTGACCTCTACATCACTGTGTGCTGTGACCTCTCCATCACTGTGTTGCTGTGACCTCTCCATCACTGTGTGTGCTGTGACCTCTACATCACTGTGTGTGCTGTGACCTCTATCACTGTGTGCTGTGACCTCTACATCACTGTGTGTGCTGTGACCTCTCCATCACTGTGTGTGCTGTGACCTCTCCATCACTGTGTGCTGTGACCTCTCCATCACTGTGTGCTGTGACCTCTCCATCACTGTGTGTGCTGTGACCTCTCCATCACTGTGTGTTGTGACCTCTCCATCACTGTGTGCTGTGATCTCTACATCACTGTGTGTGCTGTGACCTCTCCATCATTGTGTGCTGTGACCTCTCCATCACTGTGTGCTGTGACCTCTCCATCACTGTGTGTGCTGTGACCTCTCCATCACTGTGTGCTGTGACCTCTCCATCACTGTGTGCTGTGATCTCTACATCACTGTGTGTGCTGTGACCTCTCCATCACTGTGTGCTGTGACCTCTACATCACTCTGTACACTATAAGAGGTAGGACTGTAGTCAGGATATCTGAATTCCTGTCCTAATTCCACCACAGAGGAGTTGGGGTAGCCTAGGAAAATTATCCATCTTTCCTGTTATAAGAAAAAGTTCTTATAAGAATAAGTTCTGTGGGTTTTTGTTTTGTTTGTTGTTGTTGTTACTGTTGTTCTCTGTCAAAGGTAATTGGCACAAGGGCCCATATTCCTTAAAGTAGCCCATGTGACTTGCTCGTTTGCGCCCCTCTTGGGCATTCCCACACTTGATCTTACTCTTTCTCTCAGCACCAACTAGTCAGTTGCATCAGAGAGCTTCAGTCAGGCAGAGTGGTACACACCTGGAGTCCCTGCACTTAGAAGGCCGAAGAGGGATTGCCCAGGTTCTAGGCAGGGCTACAGGTCCTGTCTCAAGCAAACACCAAGAAGGAAAAGAGTCTTAGAGGTAATAGTTAGGACAGTTTGCTGAAGTCCTGTGACATCCTGGGAGTGACTCGGGTATCAGGCTTGGGCTACTGATATCTGGCTGCCATTGGCATCTTCTCCCAGCAGCTCAACAGGACCTATAGTCTCTGGATTTTTCTGCTCTTTCCTATTCTATATGAAGTCCTTCCATTTTCTTAATCTGCCTTTTTCAGGCCATTACCAAAGCCAACATCCATTCCCTAACCACCTATTGCTTGAAATATTTGTCTCCATCTCTATAAGTGAGCCAAGAACATTACTGGATAATCGTCCAATTGCCGATCCACCTCCACACTAAGCACCTTGAGACCGGGGTGGCCATTCATGCTCGGCTTCACCACGTACTGCAATGCCCGGCACACTGCTGACCTTGAGTGCAGTGTCTTTTTAGCTGAAAGGAATGGAAAACAATGGCAGGCAATTTTAGGCGTGCCTCCAGCTTCCCTCTGCATTCCACAGGAAGTTGAGTATGACATCTTCTTTTCCTTGAGGGAATTTTCCAGTTCTCTGAGATTCTAGAATAAATGGTTATCCCAAACCTCGTATCCATCCATACCTTTAAGCTATTCCTTCTAAGTAATAGGGGGAACTTCCAGGAAGACCTAGTCCTTAGAGAAACCATAGTAATCCCTGTAGCCCCACCTCAATTTACATAATCTAAAATCCTGTGTCTAAATCCCCATCCTGTGTTAGTCTAACGCACTGTGCTTTGACTGGAAATGCTTGCTCGCCATTGTCCAGTTCCGGCTTCTACTGTGCTCTCCTCAGCGCTTATCTATTTATTTTGTTTTTTGGGGACAGGGTCCTTCTGTGTAGCCCTAGCTGTCCTGGAACTCACTCTGTAGACCACGTGGCCTCGAGATCACAGAGATCCACCTGCCTCTGCCTCTGCCTCTGCGGTGCTGGGATTAAAGGTGAGCGCCACACCCCCTGGTCCCCCCTCAGTACGTTATTAATGGCATCCCCTGTTCAGCCTTTGAGAACCAGTGTTGAAGGGGCCATTCCTTCCTCACTGTAGGGCTAGCATCTCCAAGGGTCTTGTGCACCCACCAAAGTCCACCGTGAGCAATCCCTTCCCAGTCAACTTCCTCAGGACAGCACAGCTGCCCTCTCAGCTACAAACGACCCTGTGGACGCCATCCTGTTGCCTGGGGAAGCACCTGAGCTGGACAGTGGCATGCCCCAGTGGTCCTCTCAGGGAGTAGGCAGTGGCGTGCCCCAGCGGTCCTCGGGGAGAGTGGGTAGGAGTGTGCCCCAGTGGTCCTCGGGGAGTGGGCAGGGGTGTGCCCCAGTGGTCCTCGGGGAGTGGGCAGTGGCGTGCCCCAGTGGTCCTCGGGGAGTGGGCAGGGGCGTGCCCCAGTGGTCCTCGGGGAGTGGGCAGTGGCGTGCCCCAGTGGTCCTCGGGGAGTGGGCAGGGGTGTGCCCCAGTGGTCCTCGGGGAGTGGGCAGGGGTGTGCCCCAGTGGTCCTCGGGGAGTCCTCCGGGAGTGGGCAGGGGTGTGCCCCAGTGGTCCTCGGGGAGTGGGCAGGGGTGTGCCCCAGTGGTCCTCGGGGAGTGGGCAGTGGTGTGCCCCAGTGGTCCTCGGGGAGTGGACAGGGGTGTGCCCCAGTGGTCCTCCTGGGGAGTGGGCAGGGGTGTGCCTCAGTGGTCCTCCTGGGGAGTGGGCAGTGGTTCAGGCCGCCCAGGTCCAGCAGGCCGCAGGCAGGGTGTGAAGAAGACCCGCCCTCTGGCCTGACGCGAGGCATGCTGGGAGGCCGCACTTCCTCTCAGGGGCCTCTAGAAACCACAGGACCAGGCAGCGCCCCCGCAGCCGGCAGGATGGCCGAGGGCAAGGCTGGCGGAGCCGCTGGCCTCTTCGCCAAACAGGTGCAGAAGAAGTTCAGCAGGGCCCAGGAGAAGGTAGGAGCCCGGCCTCAGCAGGGCGCCCGGGTCTGGGCTGAGGAGGAAGGGTCCTGTTGTCTAGAAGCTGAGCGGGGAGTGAGCGTCCATGGACACTGGCCGATGTGGGAGAGAAGGAAGCAGCTGAGGAGACAGCTGTTGCTCAGGGGCCTTCTGCAGCCCTCAGCCTGACCCAGAAAAGACGGCAGGAAGGAACAAATGGTAGTGGCCACCTGTGTCGCAGATTTTGCCCTGGCCATAAAGCGAGGAGGGTGTTTCACAGATGATGAATTAATTGGAGGTTCTTGCACCCACAGTAAGTGACAGCGACTATGTTGTTGCCAGTGAGTCGCCCCGCGCTGAGGGCTAGGATAATCTACGCAGTTCTCCTCACACCTGAGTGTTGTTTAAACTGGTATACATGGAGCCAGTGGGCAAGAGCATAGAAAACCCATGGCTTTCTAGGCTGTATGCTGAATTCAGGACCAGCCTGAGCTACAAAAGACTCTTTGCTGGGGTGAGGAGGAGCTGTGCACAGTAGCCAGTCCCTGCTTCTTGTGTCTTTCCTTGGGCCTTGCCCGTGATTCAAGGCCTCTGCGTGAGCTTCCTTAACTGACATGTAACATGCCACCGTCATTCAGATTATGGGACAGCGGGGCCTGGTGGCACAGCATTCAGAGGCAGAGGCAGGCAGATCTCTGTGAGTTCAAAGTCATCCTGGTCTACATAGTGAGTTCCAGGACAACCAGGACTACAGGGAAAGATGCTGTCAAAAATTAAAAAAAAAAAAATTAAAAAAAGATTGTGAGGTCCCACTTCGCAATTTCTTGGGTTTGTTTTTTTTTTTTTTTTTTTTAAGAAAGGGTCTTAAATTGTAGCCCAGGCTGGTCTAGGATTCATGGTGCTCATCCTGCAACCTCAGTCTTTAAGGCTGCTGGGGTCACAAGCTGAGCCGCCATTCTCAGCACTCTTCAGTTTCGGTGTTTCTGTTTTGTTTTTTTTTGAGGCAGACTTTCTTGTACCCCCAAACCTACTCTGATTTTAATTTCCCAGGGCCCTGCCTCCCTCTAGCTCCCGAGAACTGGGGTTACAGGCATGTGCAAACACAGCTTTTAGATGCTGGGGGTTGAACCCAGTGTTTTTTGTGAGCAAACCCAACACTCTGCCAGCTGAGTTCTATCCCAGCCCTTTCCCTGCACATTTTAAAGAGATTTTGATTTTACTGTCTGGAGTATTTTCTGTGCTAGACATCTGACAGATTCTAACTAGACATCTGATAGATTCTAACTAGACATCTGATAGATCTGAGCGCAGTGCTTGTGTTATAAATAGGGTGACAGGGAGCTCACCTAGAGAAAGCTACACTGTGCAAAGCTAAAAAAAGACAAAACCAAAAAAACCTGCTCTATTAAGAGCTGGCGAATATGTCTCAGTGTTGGACCACTTCCCTAGTGAGCAGGATCCTGGACACCACAAAAGAGAAAAAAGTTAAATTAGAGCCCCAGATACATCAGGTGCTTTTGCCTGGCTTCCTCTGGCCCACTGTCAACATGATACCCTTGGGTTTAGAGCTCTTTGTCTCCTTTAAGCCTAGGTCCCCAACCTTCCATAAATAATGTTCTGTCCTTGGCTTTGGGTCTCTCATCTATAAAGTGGGAAGGTTTGTTTTCTCTATGAAACTCTATCTACCAAGACTCAGTTGAAAACAGAATTTGACTCTGAACTTAAGAATCAGGCATTTCCTACGTAGTTAGCACGCTGTTCTTCCTGTCCTGGACCCTGGCAAGATAGGGAGAGACACAGACTCAAGTCTGCCCTGAAGACCCCACAAGCTAGACTGCGCTGGCCAGTGGGAGCTTGCTAGTTCAGGGCTGGCTTAGGGGGACCCTGGTCTTAAAGGAGAAATGGCCTGGGTGGGAGAGCCGGAGACCTTGAGTCTTGGGAAGTTACTGAGAGCAAGGTAACTCTCTCTTTAGAGAGAGAGTCCCAGTGAAGCGACCCTCTGGCTGACGAGGTGGCTCTCAGCTAAGTCTGATAGCCCCTTGCCACATTCCTGATGAGCCCCTCTGCCGTCTGTGTGGCCCCAACCCTGCAGACCCGGTCTATGAAGGAGCTGATGGAAGGGGAAACACTTTTACATAGGGCTCACGTTCCCCTGCAGGGGGAAGGCCTGCTGACTATTAAACACAATAGAATAAAACATCCTTCCAGTTGTTTTCCAGTTCTCACCGAATGCAGCACGAGCTGTATTTGGTACAGTATGATACATCCTCACATTGAGTCAACTGTTTCCCTGTGTGATTTCTCTGCGGCCGACTGCTCAATTCTCCCCTGAACAAGGGCATTTTTAAAAACCACTCCTATGTTGTTCTTTTCTCTGTTAACATTTATTCAGCTTATATCCCCAAGAGTTTAATTTGTCAAATATTTGCAATAGATTCTTTTGTTCAGGGGGCCGACTAGGGAATTAAGAGGTGAATTAGAGGAGCTCTTGCCTGCTGGAAGCTTAGAATCTACTTGTTTGCCTAAGATATGCACATCTGTGGGAACTTAGAGGGCAGAAGGACTGGGTGGAAGGTTTTCTAATAGTGGCTGGGTTTAAAATGGGAACTGTGAGTGGTCAGTAGTCCCCGCCCCCATGAGTGTGAGAGCACCTTCCAGCTGAGGAAGGCTAGCCTTGGCATGACCTGAGCTGTCAGTCACTTCAGGCGGAAGAGTGAGCAATGCAGCGGGAGCAGGAGAGTCGGTGGGAGAGGAGCCTGAAGAACACAGGGGCTCTTAGGGAGAGCCTCTGGCTAGTGTGTGTCTGCACACTTTCCTCCGAGTGCGTTAGATCCTCACAGCTGAGACAAAGTCTGACAGCACTGCATACTGCTGTTTAGCATCTGGTTCCTACTCACACACCTAAAGTACAGGGGGCGGGGCTTCCTGGGGAAGGGACTGTGCCGTCAAAAGTCAAAGAAGTTGCCCGTGGAGTTTTAAAGGTGTATCCCTCCCACTCTACACAAAGGTTAGACGACTAGGTCAGGTGACCTGGAACATACTCCACCCACACTCACCAAGTGTCGCCATCTTGCCTCGTTTTCTTGCTAGCCCTTACTCTCCAAGTATCTGAATTCTAACTTGTCAGCGGCCTGGCCAGACTAACTGGCTGAATTCTCAGGGCGGACATTAGGGATTGGTATTGTTAGCTTTCATTAGGAGTTGACCATAAAGTAGAATTTAGCCAATATAGTAGTATACACCTATAATCCCAGCTCTCAACAGGCTGACACCGGAGGGTCACTGTTAGTTTGAGGCTAGCCTGGGCTACAGAGTGACTCTGTCTCAAACACTCAGACACACACAGATTTACTCCTTCAGCAGACATCTGCTGCATACATGCACATCTTGTTCCATCAAGGCTCTAAGAACAACTCCAATGCGTATGCGGCCCAACACAGGCACCAGTTTCTATAGCAACAAGTGACTTCAGGCCTAGAGAGTGATAAATATTTCCAGGTTATCTCTTTCACCTTCTCCATTTAAGAGTTAATGATGGGTCTCTGGCCACACCGCCCTGAACACGCCCAGTCCCATCTGATCTAGTAAACTAAGCAGGATTCTTCCTGGTCAGTGCTTGCATGGGAGACTGCGTGAAATACCAGGTTTTGTCTGTGTGGCTGAAGCTGTCCTGGAGCTTGCTCAGTAGGCTAGATTGGCCTTGAACTCAGAGATCCTCCCACCCACCCACACCTGCCTCTGCCTCCCAAGTGCTGGAATTAAAGGTGTATGCTGTAGTCTTAAAAAAAAAAAAAATTGAAAAAATTGTTGGTGGGTGGAGTCTCAGCCTTCATACCCCGTGCAGCCTTACAGCCTCGAGCCTTTAGTTGTCTTCTGCATTGGCTCTAAGTTGAGTTTTCTTGATTTCCACCCCCGCCTAAGAAATATTAAATGGGCAAAGGAAGGGAGGAGTAGCAAGAAGGAAGTAAGAACCGAGCCTACCACCACCAAGGTGGTTTTGCAACTTTCTGTTGTTGGGGAGGGGAAGGGTGGAGCCAGGGAGGATGGGGACTGCACAGGGTGGGAGGAGTGATGAGTGAGGTGAGGTTAGAGACCAACAAAGACAGACGTGCTGGAAGAAAAGGAAACACCTGCTGTTACAGGCAAGGAAACAAAACCAGACCCAGCTATTGGGCAGGTTGGTGGTGCCTTTAGTCCCAAAACTCTGGAGGCACGCAGGAAGATCTCTGTGAGTTCAGATCTCTGAGTTTGAGGCCAGCTTAATCTACTTAGTGAGTTCTAGGACAGCCAGGACTACATAGTGAGACACTGTCTCAAAAAGATAAAAAACAGCAACAAAAACAATATTAGATACAGCAGGCAGCTAGAGAAAACAGTCTACATACATAGTCTCTTTTAATCTCTCAGTAGCTTCAAGACAAAAATATCTTTCACTGTGCATCCCTGTGCAGAACTATCTTATAGCCAGTCAACAGAAAGGCCAAGGTATGAATTACTATGTGGCTGCAGAAGCCTTGGTCTTAATCACCGTGGAGACAGCATGAGATATGAGAGGCATTGACCTATTCCTCTTGCCATAAGACTGCAGACGTGGGTCAGGGTGCACACAGAGCCTTCTGCACAGGCCTAGGCACACGTCTCTGGGATTCAGATTCCTTTATAATGAGATCCTAGTCGACCTATCTCATTTCATTCCCTGCCACTCCCCAAATACACCCTGAATGAGCCACACCCTTCCAGAAGGCTGCAAGAAGTTGCAAACACCCAGATTTTTGGTCTGGAACCCTTTCCACTCCATGTTTATACTGTTCCAGTCTAGCAAAGCCCCACATCCAGGCCCAGCCATGCACAGCCGTGGTCCCAGTCTAGCAAAGCCCACATCCAGGCCCAGCCATGCACGGCCGTGGTCCCAGTCTAGCAAAGCCCACATCCAGGCCCAGCCATGCACGGCCGTGGTCCCAGTCTAGCAAAGCCCACATCCAGGCCCAGCCGTGCCCACCCCTACATCAGTTTCTCCTTCTTCCTACTAAAGTGACTAAATGGCCTCTTGCTGGATTCTGAGCTATAGAAAAAAGTAGAGTAAGTATCTGAGGAGTGGAGATTTAGAATAACACAGAGACGATGAATACAAAAAAAATTAAATAATAATAGAAAATCACGAAAATACCAAAGTGTCAAACACTTAAGAGTGAGTGATGAACTTGATTAATGGAATAAAGCAGGTAGAGATTAGTGTGAGAAAGAGCTGAGCTGGTGTTTATTTATTTATTTATATTTGTTTTATACTTGCATAGTAGACAAAGTAGAGAAGTCATTAGGGTATTCTAGAAAGGGAATAAAGTCTCTAACAATTAGTAGTGGAGATTTTCAGAAATCTTAAAACAAACCAAGAAAAATACTAAAATGGTTGCGTAGTGAAGGCCACAGAGAGCTGAAGCTTGTGGAAGGATAGAGCACTAGGGACTGTCTCCATGCTAAAACACCCGTGGTGCCTCATGGACACATCATGGGTGTCTAGTGATAGGAGCAGAGGAATGAAGAGCTATTAGAGGAACTGAAGCAGCGTTGTCAAGACCTGTTACAGAAGGCCGGAGAAGAAAACAGTAAAGACCGGGCCTCAGACTGTGCCAATGAAACCAGAAAGAGTAGGGTGGCACGGTGGGGGTTGGTGAGGAGGAAGAGGCAGAAGTTGAAAGCCCAAGATAGGGCTTTCAGAAGATTTGGTTCTTTCTTTTTTCAACGGTCTAGCTATTGGGTGTGTATGCGAGTGTGCGTCACACGTGTGGATGTGTATGCGAGTGTGCATCACACGTGTGGGTGTGTATGCTGCGAGTGTACGTCACACGTGTGGGTGTGTATGCAAGTGTGCGTCACACTTGTGGGTGTGTATGCTGCGAGTGTGCGTCACACGTGTGGGTGTGTATGCAAGTGTGTGTCACACGTGTGAGTGTGTATGCTGCGAGTGTGCGTCACACGTGTGGGTGTGTATGCGAGTGTGCGTCACACGTGTGGGTGTGTATGCTGCGAGTGTGCGTCACACGTGTGGGTGTGTATGCGAGTGTGCGTCACACGTGTGGGTGTGTATGCTGCGAGTGTGTGTCACACGTGTGGGTGTGTATGCGAGTGTGCGTCACACGTGTGGGTGTGTATGCGAGTGTGCGTCACACGTGTGGGTGTGTATGCTGCGAGTGTGCGTCACACGTGTGGGTGTGTATGCTGTGAGTGTGCGTCACACGTGTGGGTGTGTATGCGAGTGTGCGTCACACGTGTGGGTGTGTATGCGAGTGTGCGTCACACGTGTGGGTGTGTATGCGGCGAGTGTGCGTCACACGTGTGGGTGTGTATGCTGCGAGTGCGCGTCACACGTGTGGGTGTGTATGCGAGTGCGCGTCACACGTGTGGGTGTATATGCTGCGAGTGTGCGTCACACGTGTGGGTGTGTATGCTGCGAGTGTGCGTCACACGTGTGGGTGTGTATGCGAGTGTGCGTCACACGTGTGGGTGTGTATGCTGCAAGTGCATCACACGTGTGGGTGTGTATGCTGCGAGTGTGCGTCACACGTGTGGGTGTGTATGCTGCGAGTGTGCGTCACACGTGTGGGTGTGTATGCGAGTGTGCGTCACACGTGTGGGTGTGTATGCTGCAAGTGCGTCACACGTGTGGGTGTGTATGCTGCGAGTGTGCGTCACACGTGTGGGTGTGTATGCTGCGAGTGTGCGTCACACGTGTGGGTGTGTATGCGAGTGTGCGTCACACGTGTGGGTGTGTATGCTGCAAGTGCATCACACGTGTGGGTGTGTATGCGGCGAGTGTGCGTCACACGTGTGGGTGTGTATGCTGCGAGTGTGCGTCACACGTGTGGGTGTGTATGCGAGTGTGCGTCACACGTGTGGGTGTGTATGCTGCAAGTGCGTCACACGTGTGGGTGTGTATGCTGCGAGTTATGTCACACGTGTAGGTGTGTATGCTGCGAGTGTGCATCACACGTATGGGTGTGTATGCGAGTGTGCATCACACGAGTAGAGGTCAGAGGACAGCTTTTGGGAGTCAGTTCTCTCCTTCCACCACGTGGGTCCCAAGGGTCCAGGTCAGGTCATCCTCAGGCAGATTCTTTACCCACAGAGCTCCGCACCAGCCCCTCGTCCTTTCTTACTTCTCTAAGATCAAGGGTCTTTCCTGTTTCCCATGACCTCTGAGACTGGAGAGACAGTTGGCACTCGCGTTTCCTAGTTGAAAGATAGACATGGGTACCATTCATTTCCAGCTGGGCTTGTATCAGAGTTTCTTAAGGTTTTCCGCAGGGCCTTCATGAGGAGTCCCTTGCTCATCTCTCTGACCTCATCCATAGAGAAGAAACCGTGGCAGTGGCTAGAAGAGGGAATCCTAATTTAAAAAAGTCTTCATGGCTCATGCCTTATCTTTAAAAGTCAGGCATATTTTCTCAATAATCTTGTTTTGGTGCAATGTCCTCTTTTGTTCCCCTTTAAAAATCAGTTTAAGAGCTGGGTGTGGCAGCACAGACTTTAACCCTAGCTCTTGGGAAGCAGAGGCGGGTGGATCTCTGAGGTTAAGGCCAGCCTGGTCTACAGCATGAGTTCCAGGACAGCCAGGACTACACAGAAGAAACCCTGTCTCAAAAAACAAACAAACAAGTCACTTTTAGGCTGGAGGTGCAGTTCAGTGGGAGAGTGTATGTTTAGCTTGTGCAAGGCTCTGGGCTCTATCCAGCACCAAACCAAACATTCAAAACACCTTGTTCAAATAATGAGAATCCAGAAAGTTACAACTTCTTTATCAAGAGAGAGAGAAAGAGAGGAGGCTATGAGTGAGAATAAACAGGCAGATTCCCCATAGCACGTACCTATCCCCCAGGTATCCCAGTTTGAGAACCACAAACCTTGTTTTTGTTAGCTGTGTTACATTCCTGACTCTGTTGAGCTGAGGGGAGACCTGTAGTTACACCCAATACCAACACCTAAGAGACTTGACCATAACCATACAGGCCTTTCTGTCTTTTATCCCAGGTTCTACAGAAATTGGGGAAAACTGTAGAAACCAAAGATGAGCGATTTGAACAAAGCGCCAGCAACTTCTACCAACAACAGGTAACCTGAGGGTGGGGAAGGGCAGTGCCGAGGGCCCGGTGCCGAAAAGTCTAGCGGGCAGGCATCTCATCAGCCTGCTGCTCATCCTAGTCTCTGAAAAGCAACAGAACTTGCCCTTCTGTGGCTGCTGCCCACAGGGCCTGATCTTCTTTCTCTGCATGTTATAGTATTGACCTTAGGAAGACCCTGGCAGCAGGCGTGGCAGCTTGCACGGGCTTACCTCAGCACAGACTGCTGACCTTCCTTAGGATACACTAGTTATTTGCATAAACAAACCTCTCATGGCAGTGCAGTTCCGACACTATTGAATATCAGGTCAAATGTCACAGGCCAGGAACACAAGACTGCTGGGCCCACACCAGACACCAGCAGCCGTTGTATCCCCGGCTCATTTATTTACATGTACAACCTATATTCATGACTACAGACCAGAAAGTATATTCAGAAAAAAGAAACAGGAACAGGGAATCTGATGCCGCTGATGTAATAAACCAATCAAACCAAATCAGTAAACCAGGTTTATTTGAGCACAGCATTCCTGGGTGGCCCCAGGGGAAGTCAAGGAAACCACAAGGTGCGGGGGTGAGGGGGTGTTAATACCCTCTGGGGTGGAGCTGCGATGGCAGACTTTCTCAGGGGCAGAGTCTAGACTGAGGCAGCTCCAGGGAAGGGGCATGGGGTGGCACCTCCACCCGAACAGTCACAAGTTCAAGACCAGCCTGAGATACAAAAAAATAAACATAAAGCTGGAGAGATTCAGCTCTGGAGGCCACAGGGTGGAGGCAGAGAGCTGATTCCTACAAGTTGTCCTTGAATCTCCACGTTTTCCTTAGCTCTGACCTACCTACATGTGCATACACACACAAAGACACGCACACGCGTGTGCGTACACACATAAAATAAAAAGAAAATTACTTTTAGAATAATAATGATACTGTAGGCTATATCCATTCTTGTTTCATATCCTATATTGCTGTGATATCTGTGTGTATAAGACTTAAATATATCTATTATAATCGTGAAGTTTCTAAGATTATTTTAGGGTTGTTTCTTCTTGGATTATAACAGAATCTTCTTAGTTTTTTGACCCTGGTTGACCTGGTACTTACCATGCATCCCAGGCTGAGTGCTGGAGATGGAGCCCCATCCTCTAGGAAGAACAGCTAGTTCTCTTCCCCTGAGGATCTCTCCGGTCCTCCTTCCTGAGGCTTGTCCTTAGAGAGCACAGCTTGTCCACAGTCACCTGCAATTTATGTTTTGCTGGCTGTTTTGTTGTGGTTGTTTTGGGTTTTGTTGTTTTTGTTTCATTTTAATTTTTGAGACAGATTTTCTCTCAATTGCCCTGGTTATCCTGGAGCTCCATCATTTTGTTTTGAGACAGTATCTCATGAAGCCCATGCTGGTCTTGAACTCAGTGGGTAGCTGAGGAGAGCCTCGATCCTCGTGCTTCCCCTCCTGGATTCTGGGTTATCGGTGTGCACCACCACAGTCAGCCGGCATGGTGCCGAGCTCAGGCCCTGGGCGCTGTGCACACCTGCCAAGCGCTCCATCGCACGCCCTCTCTAAGTTTTGTTTCTGCGCGGCTCTCCTTGCCTCCCTCCTTCACAATTTAGGAAAAGGTGTTTTCCCTCTGGAAGCTCTGCAGTCTTTTCCTTGTGGTACGGACAGCACTTGCTCAAGGCTTGATTGTGCCATCTCCTGTTGTTCTGCTAGTGTCTGGGAGCCCCCACCCAGGACCATCCATCCTCAGTCTCCCCCTCCCCAGTCTGTTGGGATCCAGTGCTGCATCACTGACTGCTCTGGTCTAGCTTCACAGAGTGGCTCGTTAACTGAGGGTGCTGTCTCTATCAGGGGTGGCTAGAACTAACTCGGGCTCTTTAGGGCAATGCTGAGAACTTGGCAAAGTTTCAGAGGGCAGAAGTGATGAAATCAGCAGATCTGGAGATAGAAGTGGCTTTCCCCCTATATTTATAGACTGGGGAACTGAAGCCGGAGAAGTAGGGGAACCTGCCAGTTGAGAATAGAGCCAACACACCAGCCAGCCAGCCAAGTGAGAAGCTGGCATCAGGAAACAGGTGCTGGGTTAATTAGCCTAAACATGCCAGGGGAGGGTAGGTGGGTCTGAAAAATGAAATGGTGCCCGGCACTAGTCCTGTCGTCCTAAAGCCCACCTCCACCACCACTACCGCATCCATGGCCACCCCATACTTTATCTCTTCAAAGAAAGAACAAAGGTATAAAGAAAAATGGGATGTGGGCCTGGAGAGATGGCCAGTGTGTAAGGGAACAGTGGGATGTGGGCCTGGAGAGATGGCCAGTGTGTAAGGGAACAGTGGGATGTAGGCCTGGAGAGATGGCCCAGTGTGTAAGGGAACAGTGGGATGTGGGCCTGGAGAGATGGCCCAGTGTGTAAGGGAACAGTGGGATGTGGGCCTGGAGAGATGGCCAGTGTGTAAGGGAACAGTGGGATGTGGGCCTGGAGAGATGGCCCAGTGTGTAAGGGAACAGTGGGATGTGGGCCTGGAGAGATGGCCAGTGTGTAAGGGAACAGTGGGATGTGGGCCTGGAGAGATGGCCAGTGTGTAAGGGAACAGTGGGATGTAGGCCTGGAGAGATGGCCCAGTGTGTAAGGAAACAGTGGGATGTGGGCCTGGAGAGATGGCCCAGTGTGTAAGGGAAGAGTGGTGTGGTTGACAGCACGCACACTTTTTGCAGAGCACCCAGCTTCTATTCCCAGCACTCACGACAGGCAGCTCACGACAATCTGTGACCAGACCTGCCACCTGCTGCTGAGCTCCTGAGGACAGAAAGGTTGTCAGGTGCCCAGAGCTGGAGGAATAGGAAGCTGTGAACTGCCTGCGCTGGGAGCTGTGAACAGAATGCAGATGGTTGGGAAGAATAATGCATACTCTTAACCTAACCACTGGGCCATCTGGTTACCCCAGTTGAATCAGTCACGTTGTTTTGAAATCAAGTTTTCATGATGAAGTGAAAAGTTAAGTCCCCATTGTTTTCTTTCAAAAAGAATGTTAAATCTTCATTAAATTTTTGAAAAGTTTTTTTTGTTTGTTTGTTTGGTTTTTGAGACAAGGTTTCTGTCCTAGAAACCTTTCTGTAGACTAGGCTGGCCTTGACTCACAGAGATCTGCCTATCTCTGCTTTCTGAGTGCTGGAATTAAAGGCATGCATCAGCATTGCCCAGCATATTTTTATTTTTATTTATGTGTATGTATGTGTATCTGTGAATATGCACGTGCATGTCCAGGTGCTCAGGAGGTGTTGGATCCCTGGAGCTGGAGCTACAGGTAAGCACTGGGAATTGAATTCTAGTCCTCTGCAAGAGCAGTAACTGATCTTAAATGTTGAGCTATCTCCAGCCCTTTTATTAATTTTTATAACTTCAAAAACTTTTCCAAAGCCCTTAAAATCTTGATTATTGAGCTGGCAGGATGGCTCTGTGAGAAAAGGCACTTGCTGCCGAGCTTGATGTAAGTTCAGTCACCAGGATGCACATGGCAAAGAGAACCAGTTTCTGCCATTGTTCTCTGACCTCCGTATGTATGCAGTTATTAGATAGAAATTTCCATTTTTTCTCGTTATCTTTTAATGTAAAAGTTCACTAGCCTTTCTAGTAATGAATGAGTTCACAGCGAGTATTTCCTGGCGAACTGCACAGCATCTCTTAGGTTTCAAATACTCTGTTCCCTGAGCTGGTTCCTTCTGGCCCTTGAGCGGGCCTGCAACATTCCTTTGAAGTGGGTGGGCCACACCTTAGTTCTCTCCCACACTCCTGAAGTCAGGCTCCAAATGTCAACCACCTGGCCTCTCACTTCCTCTCCACCCCATCCTAGAAACTGGAGTTCACCCACACAGGAGAGAGAGAGTGAGGGGAGGGAGGCTGTAAACAGTGCAATGAGAATAATTGAGGAGACCTCCGAGGAAGACAGCTTTGGTGACAGGAACAAACGGTTTGTCCTCAAGTCAGTGTGGAGGAAAAGTTAGATCCCGAGCTGGAGGACTTGATGCCTGCAGGCAGCATCCAGAACCCGTGTTAGGAAAGCAAGTCCTACTGCCGAGCCACCATGGCTATAGTTCAGCAAGTGAGACAGGCTTTCTCTGTGTAGCTCAGCAAGTGAGACGGGCTTTCTCTGTGTAGCCTTGACTGTCTTGGAGCTCACTCTGTGATCAGGCTGGCCTCGAACTCACAGAGACCATCTGTCTCCACCTCCTGAGTGCTGGAATTAAAGGTGTGTGCCACTACCGCCTGGCTAATGGCAACACTCTTAAGGTGAGCCTGAGTATGCTCTGGGGCAGAAACAACAAGAGAGACCTCACCTAAACAAAGCAGGTGAGAACTCTCTCCCAAAAGTTACTCTCTGATCTCCACATGTGTCATGGCACATGCGTGCTCACATACACTTGACAAGACATTCACGTGCATAATAATAAAGAATTTTTAAAAATTTCCTGGGGCTGGAGAGATGACTCAGCGGTTAAGAGCACTGCTGCTCTGCAGAAGACTGGGTTTGGGTCCCAACACCCACATGACCACTCAACCATCTTCTGTCCATTCCCAAGGAATCCAACACCATCTTCTGTTGTCTTTGAACACAGGCAGTACACATACATACAAGCAAGACACTAATATACATACAAATGTTTTAGAGATTCCCTGTACGGATACTATTTCAGAGCTGTTTAACATGAAAAGCCCTATACAGGCAGGGGTTACTGGCTTCTGTTTCCTGGAAGTACTTAAGAAGCAGAGAATAGGACTGGAGAGATGGCTCAGTGCTTAGGAGCGTGTACCACTCTTCTAGAAGACCTGAGTTCAATTCCCAGCATCCACATCTTCCTGTCACAACTTCCTGTAACTCCAGGTAGACCCGACTCCTCTGGCCTCTTTTGGTACCTGCAAGTTTGCACTCAGAGAGGCAGACAGACTAAAATGAAAAATTTAAAAAAAAAGCAGAAGCAGAGAACATCTACCATTTATGAAGCTGAGGCAGGAGCATTGTTGCAAGTTCAAGGCAGCATGGACTAAATAAGAGGACAGATTTTGTCGTTAAACAGTGACAAAGCAGAGGCTGAAACAGACGTCATGACTGTAGTTCATTCTTCAGGATGAGATCTAATTCCAAACTCCTTCCCTGGCTCCGCTTCTCTTTAATAAAGAGACAGAGATGAGAGGGGAGAGAAGAAGGGGGGCAGGGAGAGCGAGAAAGAATTCAGACACCAGAGCAGAGGTAGAAGCACAGAAAGGTCAGATGGGCTCAGTGCACAGGAGGGGAGGAGATGGACTGGACTCCTTGGAGTAGGAGCAATGGGGGGGGGGGGGGCTGAGTGAAGATGGGGAAGACTGCATGGGAGGCAGGAAATGTCTGTGTGAAGGTTCAGAGAAGAAAGGGCTGTGGTACAGACGGCAGCGAGGATCACATATGCGGGGCCCTCATTCCAGGGCTTAGGTATGGGCTCTTGTGTACTAGAAGAGAGAAAAAGCAGAAGGCAGAAAATATGCAGTGGGGGCTTCCACTGTCCCAGCTCATACAGTGACCCCAAAGAGACAACCTGCAGCTTGCTGGCAGAGTGAGCTCTCTGTCTTCACTGAACTTTTCAAGGCCAACCCTGCAGCACCCTCCAAACAGACCTTGTTAGTTACCAAAGCCGTTCTCTGCTTCCAGGCAGAAGGCTACAAGCTGTACAAGGACCTGAAGAGCTTCCTTAGTGCAGTCAAAGGTGGGTATCAGCCTGGGAGGGCACAGGGGCTGGCGGGCAGGCGGGGCTGATGGGCAGAACAGCCTGACCCAGGGTTCCCAGAGCTCAGCTGCCCTTGACCCCTGAAACTCTGAGGGCCCCCAGCGACTTCCTATTCCAGCCCCACCCGGCCTCTCTTACTGAGAACCCATCCTTGTGGCTTGTCACCGTGGAATTACATCATCGCTTTTTGAGACACTTGGTGGTAGGACTGAGTTCTCTCCTTTCAGTGATGCATGAAAGTTCAAAGAGAGTGTCAGAGACCCTGCAGGAGGTCTACAGCAGTGACTGGGACGGGCATGAGGAGCTGAAGGCCATCGTGGGGGTAAGGGCAGCTTGTTCATGACTCTGCCTTGGGATGCACTCCCTTCTCCCTCAGCTGAGCCTCTGTATCCTGGAAAGAGAAAAGGGCCAGTTCATTCTCTGTTACAGAGCCTCCACCTCTAAGCAGCAGGATTGCCGCTGGTTCTACCTTCTTTCCTCCCGTAAGGTCACAGAAACGTCCCCTCCTTGAGGATGGGCTGTTTATGAGAAACAGCCACATGCAGTTAACTGTTCACTTGCACACACACACGCATGTCCTCTAAACTTGGGGTCAGGGACCTTACTCTTCACCCCCTGGGTGCAGTTCCTTAGAACCCATGTCTCTTCTTGAGAATCTGACATGATATTCTAACTATGGTGCTACAGTAGAGTTCTCTGCAGAGAGAATGTGGGTGTTTCTCTGGTGGATGCTTGTAGGCATAGGGTACTCACCACCCTCTGCCTGGATCCCACAGAACAATGATCTCCTTTGGGAAGACTATGAAGAGAAACTGGCCGACCAGGCTTTGAGGACCATGGAGAATTATGTGGCCCAGTTCAGCGAGGTGAAGGTAACTGAGTCTGCTGGGTTGGAGGCAGTCCACACTAGCTAGATCATCAGCTGGTAAACATCTGGTTCACATTGCAAGCAGCACTTGAGCCCCTGGTAGCCGTGGAGCGGGGTAGATAAGAGGTCAGGCTGACAGAGGTGCAGTGAGGTTGTTTGCACTTAGAGGTCAGTGAGTTACACTTTGGGCTCCAACTAGGTCAAAGCGTCCATCTCTTTTTTACCTGAAGATTTGTTTTTTTATATTCAGTTATGTGTGTGTATGCGTGTTTGAGTGGGGCATGTGCACATGGGTACAGTACCCCTGGAGGTCAAAGGTGTTGGGTCCCTGGAGCTGGAGTTACAGGTGGTTGTGAGCCACCTGACATGGATGCTGGAAAGCCCTCTGGAAGAGCCCTCCTAACTGCTGAACCATCTCTCCAGCCCCAAAGCATCCATTTCTTTTATTTTCTTTAAACAGAATCTTGCTATGTAGTCCAGGCTAGCCTGAAACTTGCCATCCTCCTACCTCAGCCTTCTGAGTTCTGAGATTACAGGGGTGTGTCACTATGCCTGGGCTTCCCTTTTAGATGGGAGAAACAGCTAATAGAGCTAACGATGTCCATTGTATAGAAGAAACTTGGAGATGCCTTGATATATCTTCAAACACTTGAAATTCTGTCAGGTGAAAAGAACTTAGCCTGTCCCAAAATGTTCTAGAAAGCCAAATTATAATTTGAAAAAATTTAATTATTTAAAAATATTTTTTGTTGCTGGGCAGTGGTGGTGCACACCTTTAATGCCAGCACATGGGAGACAGAGGCAGGAGGATATCTGTGAGGTCAAGGCCAGCCTGGTCTACAAAGTGAGTTTCAGAACAGCCAGAACTGTTACATAGAGAAACCCTGTGAAAACAAAAAACAAAAACAAAAAAAAAAAATTAAGCTAAAAAATTTAAAAATATTTTTGTTATTTTTATTTATATGTATGTGTATCTGTGTGTCACACGTGTGTGGGTGCCCACAAAAGCCAGAAGAAGGTATTGGATCCCCTGGTGCTGCAATTGCAGGTGGTTGTAAGCCACCTGACAGGGGCGCTGGGAGCCAAACTTGGGTCCTCTGTGAGACTCGCTTTTGCTCTTAACTTCTAAGTCATCTCACCAGCCACTCTAAAAAAAAACTATTACATCATGTATTTGCTGTGTGTGCGTGTATGTGTGTTTGTGCATGTGTGTTCACCACGGTGTGTGTGTACGACAGCACGCAGTAAGTCAGAGGACAACTTGGGAAGACCACTGTCTGGTCTGCCACACTGTCTGTCAGGGTCGGAGACCAGCACCTTCAGGCACTGAAGCATCTCTGGCCTCAGAAGGGGGTTGTTATTCGTCGCACTCGGTTTATGAATCATCTACTCTGCGGGCACTGTGCTCTTTGTGGACTGAGAGGAAGCTACCATGGGCTTCCAAATTGGTACCAATGATTACGTTAGCTTTTAAGCTTCAGCTTTTCAGAACATAAGGTAGAATGCACTCCGAGGTAGTTTTCTGTTGTGGGGCAAAGCAGAAGTTGAATTATATCACTGATGGTTTTTTTTCTTTGTTTGGTTTGGTTTGTTATTGCTGTTGTTGTGTGGGGTTTTTTTTGTTTGTTTGTTTGTTTTTGTTTTTTTTGTTTTGTTTTGTTTTTGTGACAGGGTCTTACTGTCTTAGGGTTTCTCTTGCTGCAATAAAACACCATGACTAAAAAGCTAGTTGGGGAGGAAAGTTTATTTTACTTACACTTCCACATCCCACAGAAGGAAGTCAGGGCAGGAACCTGGAGGCAGGAGCTGATGCAGAGACCATGGAGAGGTGTTGCTTACTGGCTTGCTCCTTGGGCCTTGCTCAGCCTGCTTTCTTACAGAACCCAGGACCACCAGCCCAGGGATGGCCCCACCCACCGTGGCCTGGGCCTTTCCCCATGAATCACTAATTTTAAAAATGCCCAGCAGCCAGATCTAATGGGGGCATTTTTTAAATTGAGATTTTTCATTTCAAATGACTCTAGCTTATATCAAGTTGACCTAAAAGTGGCCAACAGAGTAGCCCATGCTGGTCCTGAACTCACAGAGATCTACTTGCTTCTGCCTCCCAAGTGCTAGAATTAAAGTCATGCACCACCACACCTAGCCTTCTCCTTTTTTAAAGATCCATTTACTTATTTTAGTGTGTGTGTGCCTGAGCGTGCACACCACATGAGCACAGGTGTCTGCACACGGAAAAAGGAGTCAGATTATCCTAGAACTGGAGTTAGAGGTGGCTGTCAGTCATTTGGTGGGCGGAACTGAACCCAGGTCCTCTGCATCGCTCCAGACCCTTGAGCTGCTTACCATCCTGGACAGCGCAGAGTCGTCTCATGCAACCCCGTGTTGAAGCAGGAGTGCGAGCTAGGGAAGAAGATCACATTGACAGAGGAGCTGGGCGGGGCGGGGTCTGCTCCCAGCACAGCTTGTGGTTTTGATGACCGCACAGACTCCCTAAGAGTGCTTCGTGCTCTGCGTCTGGTCATAGAGTAATGTTTGTGTAGGATTGATGAGGCTGCCAGGGTTCAAAAAGAGATGTCCCCCACCCTAGGCCACAAGGCTAGTAAGTGGCATATAAGGGGCTAAAACCCAGAATCCTGACTTTCAGTTTAGTGGGATGTTTCAAGGGCCTTGCTCCTGGAAGCTGAACCAGTTTATAACAGGTTTGTAGGAAATTTTATATCTTAATACAGGTTGCACAATTCAGTGGTAAAATCGAAGAATCTTGTTTCTTTGCTTGGTATTCTATTACACATCCTGGAAAGTGAGTCACGTCTATACCCTTTCTCATCACCCTGGACTAGGAGAGAATTGCCAAGCGGGGCCGGAAGCTGGTCGACTATGATAGTGCCCGACACCACCTGGAGGCCGTGCAGAACGCCAAGAAGAAAGATGAGGCTAAGACCGCCAAGGTAAAAACAAGCAAAAAACCTGCCCCCACCCCCAGAGGTGGAGGTCAACACGAGGGCAAGCCTGAGGGATTCCTGTGTCCTAAAGGACATCTGTTGGGCAGTCAGAGTCCTGAGGCGGAGGAGGACTCGGGTCTGGGCAGGGAGAGGAAAGGTGGTGAGGGTGATGAAGGCAGCCTCTACTTCTCCTTCTGTCGCGCAGGCTGAAGAAGAGTTCAGCAAAGCCCAGGGTGTGTTTGAAGATCTGAACCAGGAGCTGCTGGAGGAGCTGCCTGTTCTTTACAACAGGTAATGACGGACATCCAGTATGGGCCAGCTGCTCAGGCCAGTGGGGTACAAAGCCTCCTGCGTCCACATATGGCGCCTTGTGGAAAGAGCCCTGTAGCCTCAGCACTGCCACTAATTAGCTGTGTGATTAGGCAAGCGTCCTTATCTCCCTAGACTCCTGACACAGATAGCCATCCTTGCCCCACCAGCTTTTCTGGGTTGGAGGACCAGGTGCGTGTTGGGTAGGAGAGATCTTGTCTAGTAAAGCGCTTTGTCATCCACATTCCATCGCACAGATGTGTGCTTTTAAACCGTCACGGTTCACAGGCGTCCACACTAACGAATGTGCCAAGGCTTCGTGGTTGACAGAAGTGTTCTAGATTCAAAGCTTCCACAGTGGAAGAGAAACAGGGACTGAAACTCATTTGCATGTTATTTTCATTAGCCCACGTTCACACTCATCAGATTACAGCAGATTGCATCTGGAGTATTGCACTGCTTACTTTGTCTGTAGCCTTTCTTAGGTCAGAGTCCAGCGGTGTAGCCCAGGATGCCTTCGACTTTCAATCCTCCCATCTGGACTTCCCACGGGCCAGGATTACAGGCATGGCCACCATGCTAAGATGTTAGGATACAGTTCTTTTTATTAACTGCATTTTTGTGACTCCGATTTTTTGTTTGTTTGTTTGTTTGTTTTGTTTTGGAGACAAGATGTTTCTATATAACAGCCCTCGCTGTCCTGGGACTCTCTTTGTAGACCAGCCTGGTCTCTGCCCCCCGAGTGCTGGGATTAAAGATGTGTGCCATCATACCCCATGTGACTCCAAATTTAAACAGAGTAGAAACACATAGTTTCTTTCTAAGTGTCATGGGGAACCCACCAGAGAGGACCACTCAGACAGTTTAGCCAGTTGAAAGCCTTTATTCCAGCTGGCTGGGGCCACATCTAGGTATTTAGGGACCAAGGGGTAGCCCCGAGTGTCTAGAATATGGGGTTTTTAAAGGCAGAAACCATGTTCTGGCATCTTGATCAGCAGGTGCTGAGATGGGGGTTTGCAGAAGCAAGCAATTAACAAAAGCAGTTAGCTGGAAGGGGTTTCCACACAAACGGGCTAATGAACAGTTAGCTAGGCCATCCTGACCTCAGGTCAGGATTCTCCATCCAGGAGAGCAGACACTCATTAAACCTGGAGTGGCTGCAGTAAGAATACAAGATGGAGGAGCCTCTGCATGGTCTTTCCTTGTCACAGATATAAACTCTCCAGATTCGTTTATAGGGGAAATCTGCTGAAGTCCACACACATAGAATCCATGTATTGCTGAAAGAAAAAGAACAGCTCCTTATTATAATAATTATAATTACGCGCCTTATATTCTTATAGTTGTTTAAAAATTCTGCAAAGCAGTTTCTGCATTAACACCCCAGAAATCCAAAACAGATTACTTTTTTCTTTCTTAAATAGAGCCTCACTCTGTAGACCAGGCTGGCCTTGAACTCATTGTGCTGGCACATGTCACCACACCCAGCCAGATAGCTTCTGTGTCCGCTGGGCTAATATTGTCTCCCCTCACCTTTCAGCACTCCTGGCCCAGCTGCCATGAGTCAGATTCCAGACCCTCTCCATCCAGGAGGCCAGATGCCCTTCTCTGGAGAGCCTGGTTGGTGGCTAGCTGGGCCCTACTGCCCTTACCCACGCTTGTTTGTTTCCCTGCAGTCGTATCGGCTGTTATGTGACCGTCTTCCAAAACATTTCCAACTTGAGAGATGTGTTCTACAGAGAGATGAGCAAGGTGAGAGACTCCTCAGTGGGGTTCTTTAGGGAATCCATGGTGAGCAGTCATGTTGGAAGCGCAGAGTTTGGCTTTTATCGCCTAACGAAATGATTGTGTTGAGTGCTAGTGAAACACACATCTGTGCACACTATCAGAGCATCTTCTCCATCTCCCTTAGCTGACTGAACACAAGCTCCAGCATGAGTAAGGAGGTGAGGGTATGCGAGGGACATGACGTGACCAGAGCTGCTGGGCAGCAGGGAAAGCGGTGTTGAGCACGGGTCATTGTTTTAGGTGGCTGCTCTAGAGTAGGACCAGTGTCCATGACAGGCAGTCACAGGACATGACCCCACGAGGTCTCTTCTGCTGTGAGATTACAGCATTCTGGACTGTTTCCGTGTTGTATTCACAGGTAGCACAGACTCCTTCCCACAGTTTCCTGCTCACTTAGGATTTGCTTAGTTAATGTTAACCTGAGCTTTCATTCCCTGGGTCACCTGAAACAAGTGACAACTCAAGCCAAACCCCACCTTGAGAAAGACCCGCCTTGAGAAAGCTGCCTTTGCTGCCCACGGGGCACGGTGGACCAAGGAGGAAGGGTATAGGGTGGGGCCAGACTGGCAGTGCTGGAGAGATGAGGGTTGCGGTACAAGGACCAGGAGGTTTGGGTTGGGAGAGCTGACTGAGGAGGGAATGGCCGCGGGCTCGCATTTGTCTAGCATCTCTGCTTTCTTCCTGACTAGCTGAACCACAGTCTCTATGAAGTGATGAGCAAACTGGAGAAGCAACATTCCAACAAAGTCTTTGTGGTGAAGGGGCTGTCGAGGTGAGCCCATGAGACAGCTTGTCTTGTGTCCTGTGTGGACATTCTCAGCAGCTTCATCCCACACGCCAGACCCTGCCTTTTTACTCTAGGTCTTTGCTGTTTACTCTGTGCCCCCATGGAAATTATCTTTCTTTTCATCAAACATTTCCAGTATACCTAAAGATGATATACCTACCACCAAACTTAGGTGACCGGCTGTTGTAACCAGACACAGTGGCACCCTCCTGGTCTTGGGAGCATAAGCCAATATAGTCATAAATTTGAGACCATCCTGGCCACATAGTGATGCAGAGTTTCAGGCCAGCCTGTGCTACCTTGTCCTGGGGAGTGGGGGTGGAAAGAGGAGGACTGCTTGCTGTAAACATAGCTGATGCACCCCGTCCTTTCCTCACTTACTCTGTTCCCACCTCCACCAAAGGTGAACATGCTCTCTCAACCACTGGCTGCCTTCAGGACGTAGCTCTGAGATTCTTTGCAGCTCCAGCTTGCTAGCTCTCCTGAGCCGCCTTTGGTACTGCCGGAGAGCTCAGGGTTCCTACTCTGGGACACCCCGTCGATTCTTTTCCTGCTTTTCAACTGTTTACCCTTCTCTGAAGAAGTGATCTACCTAAGGCTTTTGTTGTTATTCTGGATTCCAACCCTGTAACTACACGCATGTAGAAACCTGCCCCTCTGCGTCGGCTCTTCTGTCACTTTTGTCTGTTGTGTCTTTGTCCTTCATGAGTTCCTTGGAATACAACTGCTCCCGCTGAAGTCTTTAAAATACATCAGCTCCTTCTGTGAGAAGGTTTGCTGTTGGGTGTTGTGGGTCTAGCAGCACAGGAGGCCCCACCACCCCTGATGTGTTTTACAGCATGGAGGTGATACAGAAAACTGTCTCCACAGGCAGTGCTGACAGATAAGGAACTGGAGGGAATTGAGCAAGGACACGTAACGGCCTGTGTGATGATCCTGGCAAAAGGCTTAAAGGTGGCAGTGAGACTGGCCTTGTGACCCGAGGAGGAATGGGGCTCATATTTAGGGAGGACTATAGACGTCAAGAAGAGTTACTAATAGTTACTAATGGGTCAATGTAGACCTTTGTAGACATAGTTTATTTTATTACAAGAACTCCATTTTCTCTTCTCCAACACTGAAAGCCGGAGCTCTCTGTCCATTCTCCCCAGATTTATGGTCAGCTCCATTGATGTCCCAGGATGCCAAAGAATAACAGCTCTTCTCTTGTCTCGAGCCTCTAAACTTACTGTCTGCACGAAAGGCGTAGACTACACAAGCACCCCTTTCAGGATGAGAAGCAAGTGTCTCTCCTCCTCCCGCCCTCACGCCCAGGACACAGCAGGGTTGGGGCAGGTCAGACCACGGGTTTTCAGGGTCTCTTGAGCCACTCTCTGTTTCTCTTCATTCGGCTATGAAGCTGCAATCGTGGTGGAGATGAAATGTACCTCTTACGTCATTCTCAGTGCACTTGGCTGACAGTTGTGCCCTTTCTCACACTGCCTCAAGCTGCTCTCCTCTGCGTGGGTGATAGTCCCTGTGGTCATCTAGGTGACAGCCGTCCTGTGACCTGCTGAATCCCACTGTCCTTCTTTCTACAGCAGCAGCAGGCGCTCCTTAGTCATCTCTCCCCCAGTTAGAACTTCTACAGCCTCCAGCCCTGTGACCTCTCCTACCAGCCCCTCGGCTCTCTCTGTGACCAGTGAGAACGAGTCTGTCTCAGCCACTGGGGCGGCGCTGGCCTCTGAGGCCGCAGAGGAAGAAGAGAGCTGTGAGAGCAAGGGGTCCTTAAAGGATGAGGAAGTGGAGGAAGGCCAGTCTGAAGCAAGGTCTTCTGAGGGGGAAGAGCCTCTACCAGCCTGCAACGGCCCCACCCAGGCCCCACCCTCCCCTGCTCCATCCCTGGGCAGAGGTCAGACCCTGACAGAGCAGCCTTCCCCGCAAGAAGTCATCCTTCGCACCCGAACCGCCAGTGAAGGAGCCGAGCAGAGCAGAAAAGGAGCCTCTGTCCAGAGGATGTCGGCACCCCCTAGTCGGCCTCCACCACCCAAAGCCTCTCCAAGCCCCAGGCTTGCCTCGGGCAGTGAGTCCCACAGCCCTCCAGCCTCTGGAGAGGGTTCACCCCGCAGCCCCAGGGTCTCCTTAGAAGCCTCTTCCAATCCAGAAGCACCCGAGAAGCCGCTGAGAACCCCTGAGGCCTTAGAGAAGGAAAACACTGGCAGCCCCAGCCCAGAAGAGCCATGTGCCTCCTCCACCGTGAGCACCATCCAGGCAAGTGAGGCTCTGGTTGGGTCTTTTTCTATGTTAATTGGTTTGGCTTTCTAAATGTTTGGGGTTTTTTTTGCAACAAGGTCTCTTTCTGTAGTTCTAGTGTCCTGGAGTAGTATCTGTAGACCAGGCTAGCCTCAAACTCACAGAGATCTGCCTGCCTCTGCCTCTGCCTCTTGAGTGCTGGGATTAAACGCTTGCATCCTTGAGCCCAGCTTTAATAAAAAAATATTTTAATATTGGCTTAAGCATGAGGTTTAAGAAAGAGGAACACTCAGACAGACAGGTGTGAGCTTCTCTGAGAGAGATGCTTTTTGTTTGGTTTATGTTTTGTTCTATATAATTTTGTATATTATTTGCATTGGTGTTTTGCCTGCCTGTATTTCTGTGTGAGGGTGTCAGATCTTGGAATCACAGAAGCTGTAAGCTGCCATGTGTGTGCTGGGAATTGAACCCTGGTCCTCCGGAAGACAGTCAGTGTTCTTAACCGCTGAGCCATCTCTCCAGCCTTGTGTTTCATTGTTTTAAGACAGAGACTCACTACATAGCCCGGAGTGGCCTAGAACACTGAGTAGAAAGGCAGGCTTCAGATGCCCAGTGTCCCTGCCTCTCTTCCCGAGCCCTGCTGTACAGTGTGCACCACCGTACCTGGCTCCTGTTGGGTCTTTGTTCCTTCACCAAAGTCAGAATGTTCCACCCCCAAGACAAGTCGGTATTTCAGGTCTCCACACTCTTCTAAATGGGCTGGGAATACAGGTCAGTGTTAGAGTGTTTGAGTTCCTGTCTGGTGTGCACAGGCGCTGGATGGGTCTCCAGTCCAAACAAACAACAAAAACCACCCAACAACACCCTTGGGGACTTCTTCCTAAAACTTGAAATTGTTTTGAATTTTTTTTTGCTTTGTTTTATTTGAGACAAGGTCTTACTTGGTCTAGAACTTACTATGTAGACCAAGCTGACCTCAACTCATAGGAAATTTACCTGCATCTCCTCCTGAGTCCTGGGGTTGCAAGTGCACGGCACCATGCCCAGTTCTCTTGCCTCACCTTTTCATTTTAATTGTGCATGTGATGTGTGTTGGTGCACATGTGTAATACTTGGATGTGTGTGCATGTGATGTGTGTTGGCACACGTGTCATGGCTTGGATGTGGAGCTCATAGGCCACTCCCAGAAACCAGTTCTCTCCTTCTACTATGTGACTTCCGGGGATTGAACCTAGGTCATTATATTTGGCAGCAGGTGCCTCTACTTCCTAAGTTATTTTGCACCCTCTCCCCCAACACTGGGACTCACATAGCCTGGCCTCAGACTGTTATGTAGCTCAGAGTGACTTTGATCTCCTGGTCTTCCTGCCTGATTGTGCCAGCGTTGGGATTAAAAGATGTGCCACCATCCCCATATTTCCAGCAGGGGCATGAGACAATCTACACTTTACAATTCTTGGCTGTGGTAAATAAACCAAAGAAAAGGGCAGCAGATTTTCAGGATGTATCCTTGATGACGAGGACCTAAAGGTGGGAATTTATAGAACTCGTAAAGAAAAGGTATGGCCTTTTGATTCTTTGAAACAGTTTCACTATGTAGCTCTGATTGGCCTGAAACTCATTATCTAGCCCAGGCTAGCCTTGACTCTGTGGCAGCCTTCCTGCCTCTGCCTCCCAGTTCTGTGACTGCAGCCATACTACTACCCAGAGGGATGGCCTCAAGGGAGGAACAGACTAGAAAAGGTGAGGTGCTGACTCACCGCAGAGCAAAGTTCTATTAGGGTCATGGAAATGAAGTTATAGTTAAAGCTATGGGGTTTATTTATTTTACATATGTGTGTATGCATACATATATATATTAATGAGAGAGAGTGTGTGTGTGTTGCCTGTATATTAGTCTGTGCTCTTCTTGTGTATGTGCCAGGGAGGGCGTTGGATCCCCTGGAACTGTAGTAACAGATGGTTGGGAGCTACCATGTAGGTACTGAGAGTCAGACCCAGGTCCTCTGGAAGAGCAGCCAGTGCTCTTAACCACTGAGCTGTCTATCCAGTCCTTTATTCAAATCATAGGGAAAGTTTATCATAACGCAGAGAACTGGGCTGACAGGACGGACGAGCAGCTGAAAGTGCTTGCTGTGGGAGCTGGAGTTTAATCCCTGGGACCCATTGTGGAGCGAGAGAACTGACTTCCTAAAGTCAGTCGACACAACACCTGTGTGCTACACACACACACACACACACACACACACACACGTAAAATATTGAAAAGTGGGATGGAGCTAGGCATGCTGGCACATGCCTGGATCCCAGTAAAGGGACGGGAAAGCCTTAGCAGAGTGATGCAGAGTTCAAGGCCAGCTTGCTACAGATAACAAGATCCCGCCTCAAAATGTTCAATCAGGCAAGCAGTGAGGATGAGGAAAAAATAAGAAACAATGTTGGGGAAAGGGAGGTGTACAAAGGCTGACAGGAAAACAGACTTGGATGGGCTGCTTGAAAAATAACACACTGGCAAGGTGGTGGCGCACACCTTTATTCCCAGCAATCAGGAGACGGAGGTGGATCTTGGTGAGATCAAGGCTAGTCTGTTCTACACAGAGACACCCTCTGTGGCTAAGGCTACACAGAGAAACCCTCTCTCGAAATTAGTGGTGATAGAAGATAAGAAGAAATGTTACGAGGGAAGAATGTAGGAAATGGGGCTGAAATCGCAGTTTTAAAGAGTGGATCAGAGAAGGTGCCCGGGTGATGGAACCCCCAGTGACCCGGCCCTCAAAGAGCGCATGTTTTATGTTAAAGGGCTAAGGTCTTCATGACATAGTTCTTTGACAGTGCTGTCTATGGCTTGGGTTCCTAACTTTCCCCTAAAGAAGGCTCCATGGCAAAGTGCTCGCCGTACAAGCCTGAGGGCCTGAGTTTGGATCCCAGCACTGTGTGAAGCTGGACCTGGTGACATACGGGAACTGAAGACAGGAAAAGTCCTGGTGCTTGATGGCTACCCAATCTAGCCAAATTAGTGAGTTCCAAGTTCAGAGACCCTGTCTCAAGGAGTATGGCAAGGAGGCAACAAGACCGCTTAGCAAGTAAAAATGCCTACTACTGAAGCCAGTGACCTGTTAGGTGCCCTAGGGTCACGTGGAGGAAGGAGAGAAGCCAGTCCCAGTCCTCTGATCTCCACATACCATGACATACACACACACACACACACACACACACACACACACAAATTAATTTTTTTTAAAAAAATAAGAAAAGGGTAGAGAGTGATAAAAGGAGATACCCAGCATAAACTCTGGCCTCCACATGCACACACATACATATAACTGGAGGTGTCTCTCCTGCCCACCAGTTCCCTAATAACCACTCTGAGGCCTAATATTAATTGCAAACTGTTTGGCCTATTAGCCCAGGCTTATTATTAACTAGCTCTTACAACTTAAATTAACCCGTTTCTATTATTTTATATTTTACCACAAGGCTCATGGGTAGTCACCTCACATCTTGCTTTCCCAGAAGCTGCTGGCGTCTCTCTGACTCCACCTTCTTTTTCCTTGTATTTTTGCTTGGATTTCCTGCCTGGCTCTATTCTGCCTGGCTATTGGCCAAATCAGTTTCTTTATTAACAAATGGTAATAAAACATATTCACAGCATACAGAAGGACATTCCACATCACATACACATGTGTGCTTACACACGCACACACACACACACACACACACACACACACACAAAGAAACTGTTAAGCCACCTGCCTTTCCTGATCATTTATGGCTTAGGATCACTTACAAGTGAGGGCTGCAGTGTGGTCCTGAAGACAGTCTCAAAGTGACCAGTAGCCGCTGGAAGACTCCTTCATATGCAGGAGCCAGCCACAAGGTATGTCCATCGTGGGAACAAAATCCAGAACCAAAGACCTGACTTTCTAGCCAGCAAGTCATGATACCCTTCAGATCTGTAAAAAGACACAGAAGAAAGCCTGTCCTGATGCTCCCAGCTCAGGGAAATGGTGTCAGACCTTTGCTCTTTGGGTCGTCTGTGACCCTCAGGAAGTATAAGACACAGAAGAACTTCCATGGGACACTGGGCAAGCTGAGCGTCTCTCACTGACAGAACTGTTTCTCTCATAGGACCAAGGCCCTGAGCTTCACCTCTGTTCAGATCCAGGAGAAAACACCTTTACAGCACCTGAGCTTCAGAAAGAGGTAAGGAGGTCTGGAGATGCCGCTCAGACAGCAGAGCACTTGCCCAGCAAGCAGGAAGCCCTGGGTTCACTCCTTGGTGTCACATAAACTGAGCACGGCACATACCTGTAAGCTTGGTCCTTGGGAGGTAGAGGCAGAAGGGTCAGAAGTTGAAGGCCACCCTTGGCCAGCTCTATAGCTAGTGTGAGTGCTGAGATCACAGGCAGCCCACAGTTCCTGCCCAGAGTCCATACGGGGTCTCCCCAACCTGCCTGATCTTGCTTTAAAAAGTGACATTATACAGGATGTACAAAAACATACACGTACTCACAGGCATTATACAGGATGTACAAAAACATACACGTACTCACAGACATACAGACATCATTATACAGGATGTACAAAAACATACACATACTCACAGACATCATTATACAGGATGTACAAAAACATACACATACTCACAGACATACAGACATCATTATACAGGATGTACAAAAACATACTTACACGTACTCACAGACATTATACAGGATGTACAAAAACACACTTACACATACTCACAGACATCATTATACAGGATGTACAAAAACATACTTACACGTACTCACAGACATTATACAGGATGTACAAAAACACACTTACACATATCACAGACATCATTATACAGGATGTACAAAAACATACTTACACGTACTCATAGACATTATACAGGATGTATAAAAACACACTTACACATACTCACAGACATCATTATACAGGATGTACAAAAACATACTTACACGTACTCACAGACATTATACAGGATGTACAAAAACACACTTACACATACTCACAGACATCATTATACAGGATGTACAAAAACATACTTACACGTACTCATAGACATTATACAGGATGTATAAAAACACACTTACACATACTCACAGACATCATTATACAGGATGTACAAAAACATACTTACACGTACTCACAGACATTATACAGGATGTACAAAAACACACACATATCACAGACATCATTATACAGGATGTACAAAAACATACTTACACGTACTCACAGACATTATACAGGATGTACAAAAACACACTTACACATACAGACATCATTATACAGGATGTACAAAAACATACTTACACGTACTCACAAACATTATACAGGATGTACAAAAACACACTTACACATACTCATAGACACAGGGCAGCACAGTAACTCAGAATGCGAGCCAGAATGGTGTCATGAAATGGAGTCATGAATTATTTAGCTCCCAAGAAACACCCAAGCAGTTCTCCCAGTAAATGGTACCCATTCCTTATAACAGCTGCTGCCAACATGATGGGCAGGTTCCTCTGTTCATCTGACCACAGAGGCAGTGACCTGTGCATGGAGCCTGCAGCTCCTCCCTGAGGAACCCCAGCAGTCAACACCATGGTGCCACCCTCTGCAGAGGCCATCAGCACTGCATGGAATATAATTCAAGAGAAAGTAGAGTTTTTACCCCTTCTGAGTAGGTCAGCATCTGATGCAACCATGTTTACCTCCCAGGTGTTTCCAAGTGAAAACGCAGAACTCTGAAGAGAAACTGCCAGACACCTAGCCCCATCTGCCCACAGAAGTGTCTCACACAGGGTCAAGGTTACAAGCCACAGCCACTCCATGTTGTCAGGTAGTAAGATACTCAGTCTCGGAGACCTGTCATTGTTGGAGTCTGAGGAGCAGTCCTGGGGAGAGGGAATCACACTCAGGAAACATTTTACTCAAGATGTGAGCATTAATGGAAGCAGGGCTGTTAATAATGCTAACACAAAAGTATCTATGGGCATGTCCACACGTTCACAGAGGAGGACATATGTCCAACTATCTACTCACTTAGCAAAGACGTAAAGCTGAAAGATTTTCACATTACTAAATAAAGTGTGACTTTGACTAAGTGTGGAGTCTTGCCCTGAGCACTGTTTTCTGTTGTAAGAGGCCGCTCATTCATTCTGCTGCCCAGACCCCCTAAATAATCACTGCTTGGCTTATTAGCTCTACCTCCTTTTTTTATTTTTTTTTTATTTTATTTATTTATTTGTTTGTTTGTTTTCTTTTGGTTTTTTGAGACAGGGTTTCTCTGTGGCTTTGGAGCCTGTCCTGGAACTAGCTCTTCTAGACCAGGCTGGCCTCGAACTCACAGAGATCCGCCTGCCTCTGCCTCCCGAGTGCTGGGAATAAAGGCATGCACCACCACCGCCCAGCTCTTAGCTCTACTTCTTATTGGCTAGTTCTTACATCTTAATTTAACCCATTTCTATTAATCTGTGTATTACCACATGGCTGTGGTTTACTGGCAAGGTTCTGTCCAGCGTCTACATCTAGTGGGGGCTACGTGACTTCTCCTTGATTCTGCCTACTCTCTCTATATATCTCTTTCAGCCTGACTATATTCTGTTAAGCCATTGGCCAAAAGCAGCTTCTTTATTCATTAACCAATAAAAGCAACACATATACATACGGAAGACTTCCCACACCAGTTTTCCACTGTAATGATTTCTGCCCCAGGTTCAGAATGCTTTAGTCATACGTGATCCCTGTCCACCAACCTCCTGGCCAAATGCCTGTCTAAGTACCTCTCCACCCTGGTGCATTCCTGTGAGCAAATACTGTGGGAAAGGACTCTCCTTCAGAGCTGCTCATCTGTGCAGTCCAGTCCTGTGTGAACTGGGGCCTGAGCCAGATGGGAGCCACTACGGAACACAGGGGAGGCACAGACATGGTATCGTGGTGGGAGTGACATGCAGTGCGGGGTCAGAGTCCTAGTCCGAGCCCTGTCCTTGCTTTCAGTGCAAACAGTGACCCTGATGTCCTTTCTGTCACCATCTGCCTTCCTGCTTGCTCTTTCTTTTTTCCTTCCTTTTTGACCTTTGGAAACAGGGTCTCATGTAGCCCAGGTTAGCTCTGAACCTCTAATCCTTCTGCCTCCATCTCCACACGCTAAGACTACAAGTGTGTGCTGTGAGAACTGCAGATTAACAGTGAATCGCGGGAGGACAGGTGGCGATGGTCGCGGGAGGACACATGGTGACAGTGGGTTGTGGGAGGACACGTGACAGTGGGTCGTGGGAGGACACGTGGTGACAGTGGGTCACGGGAGGACAGGTGGCGATGGTCGCGGGAGGACACGTGGTGACAGTGGGTCGTGGGAGGACACGTGAACACTAGTTGTGAGAAATTCCTCATGGTTAAGCTTGAGAAACGTGCGTGGCAGTGTCACTGCATGCAGAGGAAGCCTATCTGGACCCTCTGGTTGTAAGAAGTGAACAGAATGAAGCAATGGAGGATCCCTTGACAGGTGGGCAGTTCATAGAAAGGGCAGCTGGGTGCAGGGAAGAAAAGACCAGCACATGGAATCTGTGGAGGGCTGGGGTCTGCTGCCCAGGCCTCAGCTGTGGCTACCACCTACCTGGCACCATGTCCTCTCCAGATCCTCCAGTGCAGTGGAGAAAGAACCTGGCTGGTTCCTCTTGTACGGTATGCCTGTCCTACATCAGGGAAATGGGAACCATGACTGCCACTGTCTGGGCAGGGGATGACACAGCAGCACGGTGTCTGTAATGACAGGAGGGAAGGGGTGGGGCTGGGAGTTAGGCGGGCCTTTTCCAGACGACAGTAATTACAAACACCATAACTTTTACTATTATGGTTGAATGGGTATGAACATGGGTGGAGGCTTACCCAACTGTAAAGGACTATTATGGACTTTATTATACATGAATTATGTCCTGTGCCATAAACACTAATTCTAGGGGGCCCCAGTCCCCTAACACAGGCACAGAACACAGAATTTGAAATACTTACAGGATCTCCAGTAGTAGGTGTGACAATACAGGAGCTGGGGTTCTGTGTTTTTATTTGGGAGTGATTTTTTCCATTTTACATAAATGTATAGTGTATAATCTAGCAAAGGGAGAGTCTGGTAACTGAGTTATTTTTTCATCCATCAGGAAAATGTTTCCTTCATCAGTGCCTCCCAAGCCCTTTGATACCCAGAGAGGACTGGGTGCAGATGTGCCTGGGTTTCTCCATCAGACACCCCTGCACGGTGTGATGAACTTGTGGACATACACAGTGGCCATCAAGCACATACCCGTGATGATGAATACAGGGCGTGTCAAAACCACCTCTGGGCACGCTTTCCTGGACCCAAATCCGTAGAAATCATTTTTCTGAAATCAAGCCCTGTTATCTCGTTTAAAGAGCATGTCCTTCACAGGCTTTCTCTACTCTGAACAGTAGTCTGGGGGCTGGGGGGCCGTGTGCTTCTCAAGAGAGATCTTCAAATGCCCCCACTGCCCGCCTTGACTAGCTTCCTTAGAAAACATCCCCTCCTGCGGCCTTCAGAATCTGTGGGAACTCCTTCAGCCTTCGTGATTCCGGCCAGCTTTGGGCGTGGCGCAGCTTCATTCATTGACCAATAAAGCCACGTAGACAGGACCTCCCGCACCACCGAGGTGTGACTGGGGCGCACTGAAGGGTAGAGAAGAGGCTGGGAGCGCGGGCCCTGCTGTGCTCCTTCAGCTTGCAAACACCCTTGGAGCAGCAGGTGTAGCTCAGTTGGTAGACTGTTTGTCTCGCGTTCATGAAACCCTGTATAAACCACCACATAAAGCCGACATGGTGGCACCCACATCAGCCCAGTCTGCAGGAGGGGACGGTCAGAAATTCAAGTCACCCTGACATGCTGCATAGGAAATTTTGAGGCCACTGTGGGAAACAAGACCCTGTCTTTAAAATGAAACAAAACACCTGAGAAATCCAGCCTGAGCCTCCTGTTACAGGGCTGTTGCTTTCTGTTTGGGTTTTTCTTTTTTGCTGACTCTCCTCCCCAGGCAATGGGAATCTTCCAGGGAGTGGGCCATGCCACCTTGTAGAACTTCCGGTCTGTTGGGAGGGGGAGTCTAGACCTGCTTCAGCAGAGACACAGCTGCAGCGGGAAGGGCACTTGGTTGTGAATGTGGCACCTTATTCGCATGTGACTCACCGAGGAGGCAAGGGAGAAGGAAGGGCCATATGCTTAGCTAGGTTGGACAAGTCTCAGCTGGGAACCAAACTATCCAGATGTTGTCCGGGGGGAAAAAAGACAAGAACAGAGAGCCTACCACCCCAGTAGCAGCACACGGAAGCCAATAAAATGAGGGGAAGATAACTATCGCCTGTACCTGTGCCCGAGGCCCCTTGCTCCGGTTTCTGGGGCTTACATTTCACCCATCATCTGTCCCCATACCTCTGCACAGAGGACAGACCAGAGCTGGGTGTGAGGTGCCAACCTGTAACCCCAACACAGCCACAGATGCCAGCCTGTGCTGCAGAGAACTCTGCAGACACTATCCAATTGGATGATAGGGTACGTCTAACAGTAAAGCTGAAGCATGTGATACACAGGCGCTCACAAATTCCTCACTTGATGCCAAGTCTGGAGCTCAACGTATGCATAATGGCTCCTTCTTCCCCTGCAGCCTTCTACTTCTTGGTGCATTTAAATGCCTAGGGAAACGTCAAGTATCAGTAAACCTCAGTGTTCTGCCTGCATGTATGCCGGCAGGCCAGAAGAGGGCAGCAGATCTCATTACAGGTGGTTGTGAGCCACCATATGATTGGTGGAATTGAACTCACGACCTTTGGAAGAGCAGCCAGTGCTCTTAGTCTCTGAGCCATCTCTCCAGCCCCTGAAAAAATTATGAGCTACACAGAGAAACCCTGTCTCGAAAAACAAAACAATAAAAAAGGAAAATATTATTTGTGTGTGTGCACGATGCACGTGTATGCGTGCAGGCATAACATGCATGGACATCAGAGGACAATTCTGTGGAGTTGGTTGTGTCCTTCTATCTTCATGTGGTGTCCACAGATGAAACTCAGCTGTCAACTTTACAAGGCAAGTGCCTCACCAGCCCCAGCAAATAACTTTTTATGTGTGTCTGCATTGCCAGTGGAAGCCAAAAGAGGACGTCAGATTTCCTGGGACTGGAATTTCCTATGGTTGTGAGCCGCCATGTGGATACTGGAAACTGAACTCAGCCTTTCTCCAACTACCCTCTGCCCAAAGCAAACATTTAAGGTTCTATTTTAAAGAAAAAGGACACTTAAGAGAGCCGGGTGTGACTGGTCAGGTCCGACCCTCAGCCCAGATAACACTAGCCAGTGTTTATTGAGCACATAAATATGCGCCAGGTGAGGCTTTAATCAACTGGTCCCGGCACCACTGTAACACCACAGGCGCACACAGCTTTGCCCCAGGAAGACAATCAGACGTAACGCGTGCTAGCTTACACAGCGGGGCCAACTGCAGAGCCCGTGCTATATAGAATTACATCCTCTTAGTCACTCGGTTCCTCTAGTTAATTTGGGAGCGTTTCCTGCCACTGATGTGAGTCAAGCAGCAGCTAAAGTGCAGCACAGATGACTGTTTAAATTAAGACACTTGCCCTGGGCTAGGACCAGGGTTGTGAAATGGCTTTACAGGAATTACCACTTTCAGTCCCCATTTTAGGGATGAGGAAGCCGGACTATCGAGGTGTTCAGGGATTTGCCCACAGCCACTCAGCTGGCAAGCGTCTGCACTGGGACTTTTAATCCTGCCCAGACCTCAGCCACACCTCTCACCCTCTCCACGCTCCACGGCCTCACACGAAGGTCGCACGCGAAAGGTGCAGGTGGCGCCTGGCTTCTCGCCCCGCTTGGCCGGCGCTGGACGGCGAGGTGCTCCCGCCAAGTCACCTGCAGCGGCCCGGGACACCGGCGGGTCCGCGCGGGGGTCTGCGTCCCTGCGGGTCGCGCCCCACGCCGAGCCGGGCACGAGGGAGGGCGGCTCCGGACAGTGGCCTTTCCTCCCGGGGGAACCTGCCGAGGGCGGCCCCGCGCTCCTTCCTGTCCCACCCAAAGCGGCCCGGGCTCGGCGGCCGCTCGGCGCGGGGTCCCGGGTGCGGCCTGGGCGAGCGAATCTCGGCCGCTCCCACCACGGCGAGTTCAAAAGGACGCGCGGCTCCCGGCCCTGCCCCGTCGCCGGTCGGACTGGAAAGGTGAGCACACGGCGGGGGAGCCTGGGAGCCCGGGATCGCACTCGGCGGCTGGAACTGGACCCGGGGAGGGGAGCGCACGGCTGTGGGGACCCTCGACGGCCGCAAGGGCGCGGGCACGGAACGCGAGGGGTCCCCGGAGAGCGGGTGGACTCAGTGTCCGGCCCCGCGGGGCTCCAGGTAATGCAGGTGGCCGTGGTGCCCGGATCTGTTGGGCGGAACCCGGTCGGCTGCTCAGTTGCCAACCCTTGCCTGACTTTCCGGGGCCTGGTAAAAGGGGCGACCTGGGGAAAGAGTCACCAACGTGACACGTCCCAGATAAACCCGGGCTGGGATCTGCTCTTGGGGAGGGATTTGCTTATGAAAATTGATTAGATCCTCAGGGAGAACCAAAAGGAAGAGTGGAGACACGTCCAGGGGGAAGGGATTCAGGAAAATCTGGCGCCGAAAGCTCTGCTGGGATCTCCAGGCCATGCAACCTCAGGACCCCATCTACCGCGTTCTTTTCCGTTCTTTCCACAGAACTGGCCTTGCTAGATACTCTGCCCTCAGCAGCGATGAGCAGTCTACCGGCTACACCTTCTCCTGGAGGTAAGTGATTGAATAAATGGAATACAGAAACTGTTCAACAAGCCATACCCACCCCACCCCTGAACCAATCCGGGAAGCCCCAGTGTAGACTGGAAGACCCTCCTCCCTCCCTCCTTCCCTGGCCTCACACAGGAAAAGGCCTCCGGAGGAAGCGGGATTCAAGTATAATGTGCCCATTAGTGCATCTGGACCTAGCCAGTTCCGGGTTCTGATAGTAACCTGGGCTCGTTGTGTTCTTTTAAGCCCAAAGGAACCAATTTTACATTCACCCCTGTAGTTGAAGGTGGGAAAGAGTCTTCTAAAGATGACTGGGAGGGCTTGGATATAGCTCCAATGGTAGAGTGCTTGCCAAGCGCGGGTTTGATCCCTTGTGTGGAATGAATCCTGTGGGGTGGAAACCACTGTGATGGCCTCTGCCTGTGGTCCCTTCTCCCTGCAACTTGGGAGGTACCAGAAATTCAAGTTATCCTCAGCTACATAGTGAGTTCCAATCCAGCCTGGGCTACATAAGACCTTGTCTGGAAGGGGAGGCGGGTGTTGCACAGAGCCGGGTGCTGCATGGAGCCGGTGGTGGTGGCCTGCAACCCTGGAAAGAGACCCTACCTTATAATTCACTCCTTGCTCCCTAGAGGTGCTGGGCAGCGCTCCTGGGTGATGAATTGATTCTTACCTTGCAGTTCCTAATCAGGTGGGTCTGGCCCAGTGACATATTTACATATTGATTGTTTTCACCTTGTGCTAGCCAGTTGGAGGGACAAACCTTGATCTATATCCCTGTGTCTTCTTATGTATAGTCTCATTTTTCAGGAGAACAAAGGCTCACTTCAAGTGACTTTGCTTTTGTTGATCTGAAGACAGGGAGGACCCCAGGGAAGGCAAATCTAGGGCAATTCCTCCTGGGATTCGTAAATCTGAGTCACTTGATTCCCATTTATCTGGTGAGAAGAGGTGAGCAAAGAGATGGACAGACCGACAGACAGAACTCGCGGCTAGAGGGGGAGGAGCTAAGCACTGGAGTCTCTGGCTGAGGGGCTTCGGAATTTGCTCTGTGTCTGTTATCCCACTTAGCGCAGTGCCTTCTCAGGGTCAGCCGAGTTGTAGCTGCGTCAGAATCTCCTCTGCTTTACGTCTTAAGTGGTATCCTATCGTATGTGTGCATCCTGATCAGCCACACAAAAGTGACTATCTGGTTGCTGTTTGCTTTCCATTCTGTCGGATATGCATCCAGGTGTGGAGCTGTTATATAGCAATTATATATTGTTTTAAAAGAACCACCATACAAGTTTTCATAGTAGCTGTGTTATATATATCCCCAAAGCAGTGCACGAAGGTTCTGGTTTCCCCATATCTTCTCCAACACTTGTTATTTGGGGTGAGTGTGATGCTAGCTGTCTCTGTGTGTGACGCGGCATCTCATTGTGACTCTGATCATTTCCCTATGACTGTGATGTCCAAGCACGTTTACATGGTCTTGGTGACCTGGGTGTCTCCGGAGAAGTGTCTGTTCAAGACTGTGCCCATTTTTTAAGTACTCACTCATGTTGTGCACATGTGTGCTCATGTGCTCACACATGCCGTAACATACATGTGGAGGTCAGGACAACCTTCTGCCATGTGGGTTGTCAGGCTTAGCAGCAAGTGTCCCCCCTGCTGAGCCATCTCGCTGGCTCCTGGCCCATTTTTAGAATTGAGTTGTGTGTTTATGTTCTTGGTACAAGTGGTGTGAGCGGGGTAGACTTTCAGGATGTACAGTTTCCTGCTCACCAGAGGTAGCAATCCTGCATCCGAGGAGTGGAGAGAAGACTAGAGATCAGCAGGATCCCTGCAGGGTCCAGCTCCTGGGTACCCCACCTTCACATCCCTCCTCCTCAGTCAGGAGTGCCTAAGGAATCCTTCAGGGATGCTGGGCCACTCTGCACCACACCGTGAGACTCCCTATGTCCCGATGGGCTCCTTCCTCTGTCTAAAAACAAAAAGTTCAAAATGTGTGTTTTTCAACCTTTCCAGGTTAACACTATGGGAGCATTAATATGATGTTTGCCTTTAATCCCAACACTCAGGAGACAGAGGCAGGAGATTCTCTGTGAGTTCAAGGCCAGCCTGGTCTACGGATCGAGTTCCAGGACAGCTAGGACTGTTACGCAGAGAAACTCTGTCTCAATACCCCCCAAATATAATGATGTTTATAATGAGTTCTTATGGATGAAAATACTGTAATGAATAATTAATTGGCTGATACGGCAATCTTAATATTATTTAAAAGCTCATTTTCTTGATATTGAAGGAAAAGTCATTAAAATGCAATCATTCAAAGGCATTTCCATAAGCCCGAGGCCACTGTGGACCAAGGTGCTGGACCACGCATCAGCCCGCCCTGTTACAGTAGGACAGACAGGAGCCCTGCCTTGGGAACTCCGCCCACCCCACCAGGGGAAGCCCAACCCTTACTACCCAGTAGTCCCCACCATATCTGAGACACTTAGAACTTTTCACTGAACTTAGTTCTCAACACACCAAGCAAGTTTTATTCTTATTTTATGAAAGCAAAAACTGAGTTTGAGGAAGAAATTTTCAGTGATTTCCCAGTTTAAAAGAAAGAAAAAAGAACATTTCCCATGGTGCAGCTGATGAAGGCTGTGCCAGGCTGGATCTACCCCCACGGTGTGTCCTTTCCGTCCGGGTCCCCCTCACCCAGCTGCCGGCCATGGGGCACAGGAGAGAGGGACAGAATTGCGGAGTGGGTTCCCATGGGAAGGAGGACTGTGGGCGTGGCCCGTCTGGGCAGGCCTAGAGCAAATCAGCAGGTTCGCGACTTCGGGTGGCAGCAGATCTGAAAGCTCCTGATAAGACGGAGACACAAAGAAATCAGCGAGTATCTGGGTCAACAAAAGAAAGGTGTGGGAGCGGATTTGGGCGGAGCCTCAAGCCCCGCGGTCCTCGGCCCGCACCTGCCTACTCTGAAGGTGCAGATTTCTTTCTTTGGAAAAACTAACAGGAACTGGGGATCCAAGTTGAGGCCTACGTGTGCAGAACCACTCTAGCACTGAGACACCCACAGCCCGGCTGCCTTCTTTAGGTGCCAGGCTTACTGGATTAGATTTCTTTGTTGTTGTTGTCTGTTTTCACTGTAAAAGTCATAACTAGCCAGTTGTGATGGCGCATGCGTGTAACACCAGCACTCAGAGGAGGCTATGGACCTGCCCTGGTTTGCAATATCGATTCAGAAGCAACTAAGGTCAGCAGGGCACCTAAGGTCAAATCACCATGGATAACCCTCATGTGGACCTCTGAATCTCCTTCAGCGCTTGCTTCCCATCCTCACTCGTAAGACAGTCTTGAGCAAATCAAAGTTCTAGAAAGGAATCTCCACCATCTCCCCGTTTCCTGCTGAGGCGTCCCCCTCCACCATCTCCTGTTTCCTGCTGAGGCGTCCCCTCCACCATCTCCCTATTTTCCTGCTGAGGTGTCCCCTACACCATCTCCCTATTTTCCTGCTGAGGTGTCCCCTCCACCATCTCCCCGTTTCCTGCTGAGGCGTCCCCCTCCACCATCTCCTGTTTCCTGCTGAGGCGTCCCCTCCACCATCTCCCTGTTTGCTGTACCAGGTCCGGGTTCTCTGCTTTCTGTGACAGGGGATTAGCTGTGTGCAGCCAGTCCCCTGTCGCTGCATAGATCCCGTCTCTTCGAGGACATGGCTCTAGACGCCCCGTCAGCTGTGCACCGTGAACTGTTTGCTCTGTGAGTCATATCTGAGTGTACACAGAGCCCTGGCTGGCAGCTCCCTTGGGCTCCAGTGGCTGCTCCACTCCTGTATTCACCTGTACAGAAGAACTCTGTAGGGTTTGCATCGAGCTAGGCCTTTAAACCCAGCACTGGGAGACAGAGGCAGGCAGATCTCTGAGTCTGCACCAGCCAGGGATATATAGCTAAATGCTGTCAAAAAGAAAAAAATGTTTAGTTATGGGACGAGAATGGGGATGGCTCTGTCACAGTGGAGATGGGATCCCTGGGGCTTGCGAACCAGTCTAGCTGACTCTGTAAGATCAGAAACAATAAGATGAAGACATTGGCCTTTGGCAGCACACACACATT